TTCAAAATTTGGAATGCTAACAAAGAATTAAGGGAGTACTGAGATAGCTATTTCTAACCTTATTTGGTTTTCTTCAGTCAGACATACCCTTCCGAGATTCGAACCTGGGCTGTCTGCATGTTAAGCAGAAGCATTAGTCCCTTATGCCACAGGCTCTTTCTCGCTTTGTTAGCTACAAGAGACAGGGGAAGAGGATGAGTGCTTTTTGAACACCCTGTCAGCCTAAATATGGGAGAGAGAGAAGTCTCTTAACATGCAGACAGTCTGCTTAACATGCAGACAGCCCAGGTTCGAATCTCGGAAGGGTATGTCTGACTGAAGAAAACCAAATAAGGTTAGAAATAGCTATCTCAGTACTCCCTTAATTCTTTGTTAGCATTCCAAATTTATATATATATATAATCTTGAGTTTGGTGCACCCTGTCGGCCCAAATATATATATTTTAAAAACAATAAATAGTTGATCACCAAGAGAATAAAACATACAAAATTTAAAAATTTAAAATTTATTTACTAAACCACCAAGCTTTCATCAAGAGCTCTTGACATCATCAGGGTATGCAAGCCATTGTTGGGAGTCGCCTATATGCAGCCGCTGATCATCTGCATCCGGCTCCTAGCGTGCGTCATGGGTCCCAGCTGAGCGTGCTGTAGTAACTCTTTCCTATTCTTGTTCTGGGCTCTATCGTGCTCAGTCCTTCTGATCCTGGAGTTGGATAAAATCCTTTCATTTCCCTCATGGGTAACAGTCATCCCCTTCTCACTAACAATGGCTTGCATACCCTGATGATGTCAAGAGCTCTTGATGAAAGCTTGGTGGTTTAGTAAATAAATTTTAAATTTTTAAATTTTATATGTTTTATTCTCTTGGTGATCAACTATTTATTGTTTTTAAAATATGGATACACCCAAGAGTCATGTTTTTACAACCTTATTTGGTTTCATCAGCCAGACATACCCTTCTGAGATTCGAACCTGGGCTGTCTGCATGTTAAGCAGAAGTGTTAGCCCCTAGGCCACAGGCTCTTTCTCACTTTGTTAGCTACAAGAGACAGGGGAAGAGGATGAATGCTTTATATATATATATATATATATATATATATATATATATATATATATATATATATATATATATATATATATATATATATATATATATATATATATATATATATATATATATATATATATTTCAAAATTTGGATTGCTAACAAAGAATTAAGGGAGAACTGGAATAGCCATTTCGAACTTTTTAGTTCTTTTCTACCAGACATACCCTTCTGAGATTCGAACCTGGGCTGTCTGCATGTTAGGCAGATGTATTAACCTCTAGACCACAGGCTCTTTCTCACTTTGTCAGCTATGAGACAGGGGAGAAGAATTATCTTGAGTTTGGTGCACCCTGTCGGCCCAAATATGGAAGAAAGGAATCTTTTGCCTGTATCTGCTCAAACTAGAGCCATCCACAGGCTTAGCAGTCGCAACTGCGACATCATATGTGTTTTTCAAAATTTGGATTGCTAACAAAGAATTATCTTGAGTTTGGTGCACTCTGTCGGCCCAAATATGGGAGAAAGGAATCTTTTGCCTGTATCTAGTTTGAGCAGATACTTTAATACTTGGTCTTCTGCTGCAAAATATATTGGGATCTTTTTTTGAAAGCATTTGGTCCACTATACAACTATATCTAGTCATGTAGCTTTCATATCTAATACTCACACACACACACACACACACACACACACACACACACACACACACACAAATTTTATTATTACCGTAGATATTACCCTATAGGCTTCATAAAAGAAAATGAGCAGTGTTTAAAAATATAATAACTCCCAAGGAGATTTACTTGAGATAATAAAATAATTTTCCCATTGAAATTCTCTAGGCAAATCATTCTGTTAATCTTTGCAAACTGGAAATAGTAATTCTAAGTGCCTTATATATTTGTTGCTGTAAGGATTTATAACACTTCTGAACATTTTACAATATAGTGCAAATTTGCTTTTCTGTATCAGAAATATTACAGCATATGAAATGTTTATGAAATGCTTTTTGTATAAACATGGGTATGATAGAATATAACTCAGTTATATTCTAGAAGTCAAATTTATAATACTGAAGCTATCAGAAGAACAAACGTTAAATAGAATTGGATATAAAATATTAGCACTACATAGCAAAAAATAATAATATTATGCAAATATTACTTATTTAAAAGGATTGCCTAAACATTGTAAGCACTATATGTCAAAATCTAAATGAAAGTTCTTTTGCTCCATTTTTTAAGAACCAGTGAACTGGAAATCAAGCCAGAAAAAACTCCTATCTGTAGACACTTAATTTGGAGGGCTGGGCACAGTAGGAATCATTCAGCAACATTTTGGTCAATTTCAAAAGCAAGGTCATACATTCATATTTGTTTGATTCACAATCCTATCTAAAATTATAGTGGATCATTAAAGTGAGTTTTCATCAAGACTATATTATAGTCTGCCTTATTTAACAGAAAATGTTAAAAAAAACGCTGCAACATAAATCTCACCTATTGGTACTATTTGATTCTGTTAATGAATCAGCAGAAAAAAATAGAAATATTTCTGAGGAGAAAAATCACTAAGCCAATGCAAAGATTAAAATAAAATACTACAAAATACTGTATTTTTTTTTTAAAAAAAGATACGTACTCTGCAATGTGCTGTTAAAAGCACTCCTAAAAACTTACCTTATCCACTACACAGATCTGCTTTTTGCTGTGGGCATCAAGAATCTCCACTTCAACATAAGTGATTTTTGAATGTCTAAGAACTGGCAGTGGTCTTAGGTGGCCAGCAGAAAGTACAAGTTGGGATAAGTTGAAAAAACTTCTCATGCCATTATAAGGTGTAGGCAATGCTGATCCCTGGATAGCAAGATCTTTCTTATGCTCAAGAGTGCTGGGTTTATGTCTCCTGAACATGACTGCATGAAATATACGGGCCTGTCATGTCAACACTGGACACCTACAATGGGTGATCTGTTGTCCCTGCATCAGTTAAATACAAACACTGGCTGATGAAAGGTCAAGTGGCATTCCATTTAAAGAGTCTAAGTTTATATGGCAGGATTGGAAACAATGGCTTTCTAATCCATTACTATATTTAGCTGGCTATTGTGATATTCTCTACTACTGTTTTTATTTTAAACAGTGTTTGAAACAACACACCCTGTTCAGTTTCTTATCATGCTTCCTAATTATTATAATCCTATCCCTTTTTAGAAAAATAGACCAAGAGCTATAAAGGAATCAGAACTGATATGCAATGGAATACATTATTATATATAGAAGCTGGGAATACAAATAAGTCCAGTTTTAAAAATGCAAGTCAAATGTCACATGGGAGTTGTTTCTTAATACAGAGCATGTCTATACCAAGATTGTAATGCCAATCAAACAATCAAACACTGTCAGATGTCTGTTTTATATTGTCAAGTAATCCATGAAGCTAAAAATATGCTTGTGTAGGTAAATGACCTTCCATTCAATTGCATCATATTGTCATCTGATGCTAAAAGCAAAAAAAAAACTTATCCATATTATAGGAGTCAAAGTACACATACACACACTTTATACAAATATTCTATTCATACTTCAGTACAAACTTCATTGTTGAATCTCTGGCCTGGGATAAACCAGCATAAAAATTGTAGAAATAGTGCTTCCATTTGTTGGCATCAAAGCTTGAATGAATACATTTTTCAGAGCAGAATTCATTTCTTCATATATGTCATATAGTATCAGGGACATACTATATTCTAAATCAATTATGGTTCCATCATTGCATGTTCATACTGAAAACATAAGTTTACAGCAATTAACAGAAGAATTTATACTTGACTGGGATAAACAATAATATTCTGCATGAATTCATAATACTTAGAATGATGTACTTACTTATGGTAAGTTTAAGCAGTAGGTGAAATACTGCAGCATGATCCCTATCCAAACTGAAGCATGCGTGCTCTTGATTATGTAGCAATCAGAACTATTTTTTTCTTCTTGATATGGAATATATGTTATTGTTCCAGGCAGAAGTGGAAAAAACAAAGGCTGAAGGACTTTGATGTTGTAGACCAGGGGTGTCAAATTGCCGGCCCATCCCATTGCCAGCAATGGCAAAAAAGTCATGATATGTCGCGACATATCACGTGACATTGCGAATTTGTCACCCTGACCCATAACCCCAATAGTAACGAAGAAAGTAGTGAAAAATTAAAAGAGAAGGAAAAACCCTGCCTATGCTCTCCCAGTGCAAAGCCACCACATCCCCATTTTATGATGTAGATTTCAGTAGCAGCAGGTGAGGATTCAGAGAAGGAAAAATATTAAAAAGATTGGGAGCATTTGGGCCGGTAACTCACATCATTTGGGAGCTATAGAAAGAAATTGCTGCCCAGAGAATAGGAAGCAGGCAATTGTGACTTCATAGAGAATAAAGGAAGGAAGAAAAAGGGACATGCTCATAAACATTGATCTACTCATTTGTAAAATCACTCTGGGATTCCTCTAGATTTTGTTTCTGCTAAACCATGCCCACCTAAAATATTTTGATAATTTGATTAAAAGAAGATAGTTTTTCTCTTTTGTGCATACTCCTGATTAATGTATTGCATATTCTACTTGACTTACATTTAAACTTGGTCTTCCATGACATTTTAAAACCTAATCTGCATAGATTCTGCATTCTGTTATTCTGCAGTCAGCACATTCACATCAAACTAACAGAAATATAACTACAGTTTTAAAATCTGTAATTTCTCAAATGTGGAAATTCTTCAAGGTGTATCCCTAATCTCTGTGTGTTTGATTGACTCATAAATCTTTCTTAAAATATGTTGTCTTTTTTACTATACAGGTAATCCCCGAATTACGAGTGTTCACTTAACGCTCGTTCAAAGTTACTTGTGCTTACGAGCAAGTCCCGAAGTTAAGAAAATTGCAGCACTACGACAGTTGTTCGCCCTTACAAGTAATAATAATAATAATAATAATAATAATAATAATAATAATAATAATAATAATAATAATAATAATAATAATAATAATAATAAAGTTGGAAGGGACCTTGGAGGTCATCTAGTCCAACCCCCTGCTCAGGCAGGAAACCCTATGCCATTTCAGACAAATAGCTGTCCAGTTTCTTCTTAAAAACTTCCAGTGTTGGAGCATTCACCGCTTCTGGAGGCAGGTTGTTCCACTGGTTAATTGTTCTAACTGTCAGGAAGTTTCTCCTTAGTTCTAGGTTGCTTCTCTTGGTGATTAGTTTCCATCCGTTGTTTCTTGTCCTGCCTTCAGGCACTTTAGAGAATAGCTTGACTCCCTCTTCTTTGTGGCAGCCCCTGAGATATTGGAACACTGCTATCATGTCCCACTGACCACAGTGACTCTGCAACATTCATCCTGGTTATTCCCTCCCTCCTCTCCCCCGCTCCGGGTCTCCCTAGGTACAAGGCCTTCAATACTCATCCTGTGAAGATTGAGATCCTTCGCTTTCTTGGTTGCTCCAGGCCTTCGGTGCATTCGCAGAGAATGGAGGCCTAAAGTAATATGCAAGATCACGCCAGATCAGAGGAGTGAGATTTCACACTACTGATCTCGCATGATCTCATGGTAGTTTAGGCCTCTATTCTCTGCAACAGAGAACAGAATCGAAGCTGGGGGACGCTTCCACATGCCTCCGGAGACTGGATCGGGCTCCAGAGGGGCTCCGATCGGGCCTAGAAAAGGGCTCTGGAGACTGGATCAGGCCATGGGGGGGCACAGAAGCCTCCCCATCCTCCAATCCGGATGGCAGCGGCCTGGAAAAGGCCTCCGGAGCCCAGATCAGGCCACGGGTGGGGTGCAGAAGCCTCCCCTGGCCTTAGATCTGGACCACAATGGCCTGAAAAAGGCCTCCGGAGCCCAGATTGGGCCATGCGGGGTGTGCGGAAACATTCCCTGGCCTCAAATCCGGGCAACAGCAGCCTAGAAAAGGCCTCTGGAGCCCATATTGAGCTATGGGGGGCACAGAAGCCTCCCCCGCCCTCTGATCTGGACCACAGCAGCCTGGAAAAGGATTCTGGAGCCTGGATCAGGCCGTGGGGGGGTCGCAGAAGTGTTCCCCGGCCTCAAATCTGGGGTGAAGCAGGAACCATGGCAGAGAGGAAACAGATCTTTTCCAAGTGAGTCCGGCATGGCAGGAAAGAAGGGAGAAGCATGAAGTATCTTAGTAGGTTGGGGAGGCCTTGGGGGCCTGTTCCAGCATTAGACCCTCCATGGCTTTCCCCACCCTGAGATACCTCATGTTTGCTTAATGAGCCATGTGTGTTTTAACGAGCAAAGGAGTGATCTCGTACCTCAGACAAGATTCACTCTGTTGTGTAGTGGGAACCGTGAGGAATTGAAGACACGGAATTGAAATAACAGCTCTTTATTAAGTTCTCACAGAAGCAGCTCTAGCAGCTGCTTGACTCATATTTATATGGACCGCCACTAGATGGCAGCCAATGAATTTAAAGTATGCATTCCCGCCTAAAACAAAGGCTTAAAGTTTGTACAGACAGACAGTTAACAATTAGTTAACCTTATGAAGTGGTTTAATACATAACACCCCTTCCCCCTAATTCAATTACATATCCATAAAATGTACATAGTCTTTTAGATAGGCAGGCGGCTTTCGCGATCATTCTGATCACCGCATTTCTTCCGGAGGTTGCCGGTCTAACCTCGGCTGGCTGGGTAGACCAGGACTCCACGACCCGCTAGCACTGGGTGGACCAGAGACTATTTGACTGCTCGGGTCCAGTAGTCCAGTCTCTGTTTGATTTCTCTGTCCGGGTAGACCAGTCCCCTTTCGGCTGGTCTGTCCGGGTAGACCAGTATACATGTCAGTGTGCAGAGCAGTCCTGGAAAAGCTGGAAAATAAGTCCTCCAGCAAGTTCTGATCTGCGGGCACTGTTCCTTGGGTCGGTAGCGACTCAACCATGACTGAGTCGATCAGCATGTCTCTTTGAGTCTCGCAGGACTCCGGAGACTCTGATGCGCCACAGCTGTCAGGCAGCCCTCGGCTCTCCTCTTGGTCAGTGGTGAGGGTTTGACACACCTGCTGCTGACGCAGTTGATCGATGTGGCAGTGCAAAATGCACCTGTCTTCCAGGACCACTTCGTACGACAGTGATCCTGACACCTTGCAAACCACAGCTACCACCCACAGTGTCCCTTGACCATAGTTCCTTGCCCAAACTCGGTCGCTGACTTGCAAATTCCTCGGGGGCTTGGGCTGCGCTGTCTCTGTTGCGACTCGATCTGGATGGAGATGGTCCAGCTTCATAGTCAGCTGACACCCCCATCTCAGTTCTGCTGGGCTATGACCTGTTGAAGTGCACGGAGTTATGTGTTGGCAGAGCAAAAAGTCTGCTAACCTGTGATGCCAATAGCCCTTTGTTATTTTTTTAAGTGCTTCTTTGGTCATCCTGACCATCCTTTCCACTTGACTGTTAGAGGCCGGGTGAAACGGGACAGAGGTGGCATATCTAATCATATTAGACCTAGAAATGACTGAAATTCTGCAGCAGTAAATTGTGCCCCGTTATCTGATACAATTACATCAGGTGAGCCGTGTGTGGCAACGATTCTGCGCAGTTCCTGGATGGTCCTGGCAGTGGTCATAGAAGGGACAGGTGCTACATCAAGCCACTTTGAGTGACTGTCCACTACAATGAGGAACACCTGTCCTTGGAAGGGTCCTGCGTAGTCTATGTGAATCCTGGACCAGGGAGTTTGCGTAGTCTCCCAGCGATGTACTGGGGCTTGAGGCATTTCAGGTCTGGTCTGTTGGCAAACCTGGCATCCTTTAACTTGAGCCTCAATATCCTTATCCAACCCTGGCCACCACAGGTAGCTTCTCGCGAGTGCCTTCACCCTTACTATTCCAGGATGTC